TATGGATCACAAAACACTCCTGTTCCTTTGGTCTTAGTTTCATTTGGGGAGTTACGAAAACCAGCCTAAATCAAATGAGAGAATGACAGTGCACTCAAATGTATTGTTTGAACTTACATAATTTTTGCAAGTGTTTATAATTTTTCTGTTCCTTCTTGAAGGGCAGAGGAAAACAAGGTGATTCCACAATCAATACTTGGGATGAATAGGATTATAGTGATGTCCTCATCATAGAACTCCGGGATTCATAAAATAAGATTTACTTGCATGGTTATTCACTCAACTAAAGAATCTTGGGACATAGTAAATCAATTATGTTTGAAGGTTTGTTATAGAACCCAATTTTGGGATATCATCGCCAAGATCTTGGTCACAAATCATGGGAGGCGATCCATCATAGAATACTCTAATCTACTACGAAATCTTAAGCAAGAGATGTATTATTTATAATACATCCAAATCAAATGTAATAAAGATGCATCTCTCCTTAAAAAAGTTTGTTAAAAATAATCGAACTTATGATTCTCTTGTTGCTGTAATCGAACTATGAACAACAACCTAAATCAAATGGGTGAATTACAGTGCACTCAGATTTATTGTTTGAACTTAAAATAATTTTCTCAAGTGATTACAATTTCTATTTTCCTTCTTGAAAGCAAGGTGATTCCACAATCAATACTTGGGATGAATAGGATTATAGTGATGTTCTCATTATAGACCTCCAGGATTCATAAAATAAGATTTACTTGCATGGTTATTCACTCAACAAAAGAAACTTGGGACATAGTAAATCAAATGTGTTTGAAGGTTTGTTATAGAACCCAATTTCAGGATATCATCGCCAAGATCTTGGTTACACAACATGGGAGGCGATCCATCATAGAATAATCTAATCTACTTCAAAATCTTAGGCAAGAGATGCATTATTTTTAATACATCCAAATAAAATGTAATAAAGATGCATGTCTCCTTAAAAATGTTTGTTAAAAATAATCGAACTTATGATTCTCTTGTTGGTGTAAGACTTGAAATTCTTAAAAAGGAAGACGTACTATACCTAAATGAAGTCATTGCCATCATTTGAATGAAAGAAGGGAGAATGGTTGCTTTGATTGACAATTAGGTACTATATACCTAAGAAGGTTCGAACCTAATGACAAAGGGTGCTGACATCAAACACTCAAAACTTTTTTTTTTACCTTTTTTTTTTATTACAAGCAACCACATCGAACAAAGATGGTCAATTTAGATTTCCATAGGTGCATATATTATAAGAAGGCTCGACATATTATATAATGAGGCTAAGGCTTCATGATAAGCCACTAAGCAAAAGCTGACCAGTATTTGGAGGGCAATGGAAATAATAAAGATATGTAATACATGTGAAAAAGGATAGCATGAAGAATCATTGATTGAATTCCAAAAAGAAGATATATAATAATTTAAAATCTTGTTAGTATCATTACAAAAGGATCTTCCGTCATGTTCTTTTACTATTGCTTTTTTGGATAGTACCTATCTTCTAAAAACTTTCGAAGTCTTAAAGATTTCTAATCCCAGCTTTTGGGTTATTATTTTAAGAGCTTTAAAATATGTGAACTTCTCTTCTTATAAATGTATTTGATGTATTCTTTGTCCCAGTAACAATAAAATAACTTTTATTGATGGATTCTTGACAACTGTTGTTGGCCAAGTAGATGTTTTTATAAATAAATCCATTACACTTTTTTGACACGTTCTCCATGTACTTAGATTATTCACCAAGTTGTTATTTATCCAAAAGTTCATCTCAGATTTAAAATGTTGTATTTTACCCATTACATTATGCCTTTTAGGGACATGTAATGAGGAGGACAATTTAACTTGCTAAAGAAATTGACGGTCTTTATTACCTTGAATAATCCAATTATTGAGAAAGCTCCAAAATTTTGTTTATATTTCCTTTCATTTTTGAAACTTTCAAATCTAATAAAGAAAGATTTAAAATTTTATTGTGATACTTGCAAGTAACCAAAACACAAGTGTATAAGTTTCTGAAAAATTAACACAAATTTCAGTCTTATTTTTCCCATTCACGGTGAAATCAAGGGACCATTCTCTATATTTAAAATATCAGGGGCTCAAAGGTTGTGTCCTTGATTAATGACTGCACTCGTGTCACAGATTAGTTTTTTATTAAAATCAAAATTGGTGTAAATATAAACTTTTTCTTCTATTTTTGATATGATAAAAAAAAATAATGTTGAGATTAAAAGTTTCAAATTTGAAAGTGCTCTAAGACTTTCTTTTAACCAGTCCTACTCTTCTTTCTAGGAAAAGGAATAATACATGAGTCCTATTATGTATATACACCCAATCAAAGTTGAATGGTTGAGCAAAAGAATAGTTGCCTATTTGCTATCACAAGAGATTTTCTTTTTTCAAAAGAATACAACAACAACAACAAGAAAGCCTTAATCCCACTACGTGAGGTCGGCTACATGAATCCTTTTTCTCCATTGCATCCTATTTAGTGTCATATTTTCATTTAGTTCTAATAAATTAAGATCATTTCTTATACAATAAGCCCAAGTCTTCCTAGGTCTACCTCTGCCTTTCTTAAGAAAAGTTGAATATAAAACATCTACTCTCTTAATCAAATCATCAGATAGTCAACGCTTAGTGTCACCAAACCATCTAAGACGACTTTCTCTAATTAAAGAATATTAAAGAAATATTAAAGAGAAGCTATCTTAATAACTGCTCATACATAAACCAGTTACTTATGTGGGTCCTTGGGTTCAATAGTTGCACTGCAGTCTCATCCAAAATCTGTCCTTACTTTCTCACCTCAAATGACCTTATTTTCGAGGTATTTGACAATGTTGTCTTTGTTCATGCACATTCTCAAAAAAGAAAAATATATCTAAAAGCAATTACATATATTTTTATTGGCTATTCTTCTATTAAAACAAGACCTTATTTTTAAGATATTTGATAATGTTTTCTTTGTTAATACACATTCTCAAAAAATAAAAGTATATCTAAAATCAATTAAATATGTTTTTTTTTTTTTTGGCTATTCTTCTATTCAAAAACAAAAACAACAAATGCTATTATCTCCTCTGCATTCTCCTTCTCTGAGAAAGATAGACAAATTTATCACCACTTATTACTCAAAAAAAAATTAATTACTGATGAATCTTTTGTTAAGATTGCTTTTCCTACCCCATACCCCTCACACACCACAACAAACATCTCAACTTCAGAACCAACTTCTCCATAAGTCATACTTATATCAAAACTCTCTTATGCTCAACCATTATAGGTTTGCTTAATGATCAAGCCATCTCAGTCAATACAAAATCTAATTAACCCAGTCAATCTGAGTCAATTCACTGATGCTAAAATGACTTTTGCTGAGTTCTTTTATCATAAGCTATTAAAATGATTGAAGAAATATAATACTTTCATGTGAAGAATGATTTCTTATATGAGAATCTTTGCGAGGCCTATATGAAATGATGTTTGACGACTAAATACAGAACCAAAGGTATGTTAATTAAAGAAGCATTATATTGATTAAAGTAATCTTCAAAGGCATGGCTTGAGAGGTTCTCCAAAATAATGTTCAGCATTGGAGATAACAAGCCAATCATATATTATTTGTGAAATACATGGCTTCAGAGAGTCTCCACACCCCCAATTTTTGTGGTTAACACCATAACAGATAGTGACTTGGAAAGTATGGAGAATTTGAAGAAGAGGCTATTCCTATAATTTGAAGCTGTAGAAGTATACAATTTAAAGTACTTTTTTGTCATTGAGGTTGCATACTTTTCACATGTAATATTTATATTATAATAGAAATACGTTATGTATTAATTGAAAGAAACAAATAAATTGGATGCAAACCCGTCAAAAGCCACATTGAATTTAATAATAAATTTGGAAATGCTCGGGAGACAACCATAGAAAAAATCACTTATAAAAGACTCATGGGAAGACTTGTCTATTATTTATATGCTACACTTGACATTGCTTGTGCTGCTAGTATGATAAGTTTTTTGATGCATGATAAAAAACAATCATACCTTAGGGCTATCAATTGAATTTCATAATATTTAAAAGAAACTTAAGTTGAAGAAATTTTATTTAAGATGGAGGAGGATCTGGCTCTTGAAGCTGAAGTTTTTATAAAGTTTGATTATACAATTTCTATTGTTAAGGCGTTAACCTCAAGCTATTGCACATTCTTAGGAGATAACCTCATTACTTGGATAAGTAAAAATAAAATAAAATGTGATCAAAAGTTCTAGTGCAGAAATCAAATTTAAATCTATGGCACTAGTGATCTATGACCTATTAAAGTTGAGAACTTACCTTGGAAAATTAAAATGTTAAATGAAATGTTCTATGAAGCTTTATTATGACAACATATCGGCCATCAATATTACACATTATCCTGTGCAACAGGGCTAAATGAAATATTTTGAAGTGGATAAACATTTGTAAAGGTGAAGCTCGACAATTATCTAATTTGTTCTCAGTTTGTCATCATAGATGGCTCACTTACAAACATTTTCACTAAAGAATTATCAGGAATGATAGTTTAAAAATTGACAAAATTTAAGTTGATTAACATACATTTTTTGCTCAAGGGGGATGCTAAAAAAATTAATATTCAACAATTTCGTCTTCTTTAATTTTGCCTCCGTCATTTTTCCGATCCCTTTAGTCCACCTTCATCATTCACTTTATGCCACTTTGGTGATCCATAGGATTAGTATTACTGCCTCGTCAATCAGTGGACTATTGTAGTTATTAATCGGACTGTTCATTAATCTATGGACTATTGTAATTATTTTTCTCTGGCTTTTTATGTTTCTTATTAGAAGCTCGTTTAGGATAGTATCAACACAGCATAAATATTGGAATCAAATACTCTCAATGTTAAATTAGCATTATCTAACAAGGTTTTCTTTCTTTCTTTCTTTCTTGTTATGCACATCGGCATTTAGGGATTGCTTGTATATGGGAGACAAGGAAGAGAGATCTGTAGAAGAAACTTAGACCAGAATGTTTGTAAAGAGGTAAAATATAATTTCTGATAGAGCCAGTTTTTATCTTTACATTATTATCCTTGCTTTTATTAAGGCTTTATGAGCTCTCTAGAAAATTTAGAATTTTAACTATTTTCCTTATATTATGTTTTCTTTCTGTGTTCTCATTCTGAGGCCAATAGTTATGCAGGTTCTGCTGTATTCTCTTGAGCGCAGAGTTCCCATGGTAGCATTCTCTGAAGACAGATGCTTCACTCTTTTTGATCATCCTCTTGTCGATTCATTGCATGAAATATATCATGAGCCAAAGGTATTTGAAGAAAATGTGCCAAAACGTTTTAATTGCTTGATTAATGTAAAATTTACAAGTTACATACTCTCATACTCCCATGTCCATGCAGGCAGAGGTCATTCCTTCACCCGAGCAGATTTTAGCATCTTTTGAGATTCAGGTAACGCGAACTGAGTTACTTAATGAAATTGTGGGTGATTACTTATCCATTTTAAGCATGTTTGCTTCGCTAAAATAAAAAATATTCATTAAATTCGAGGAAGTCTAAAATTTTTAATTTCAAGTTGTCTTTGATCAAAATTAATGCCAAGGCTACTAGTTTAGAAGAAATTTACTTTTAAAACCAAATTGAATCACAATAGAGTTTGTTTTAAACTTGGAATATAAATATCATCCCTTTACTATCCATTTTCTAAACTATACTTCCATGGCATAAATTGGTTTAAGCAAGTTGATTCATTGGATGTTAACTCTACAATGAAAGGGAAGTGCAAGCTTGTCTATGAAGATCATTGTTATATGCTTCACTGTATGAGAGCTGATCTAAATCCTGCTAGTGACATGCCATAAATATTAATTTGTTTGATTAATCCTGAACTAGTAGCCAGGGATAAGGCGATTTTTATTTCAAATACGCTAATGTCCACTTATAGTCTTTTCCCATACCGTGCGGTGGATTGTGAGAAGTGAAATATTTTTGACAATGTGTGGGAGGCAAACTTTTTAGCAAAATATAATTAAAGCTTACTGAGACCATATTTTTGTCATGATTAAGGAATTATTTGATTATATGTAAGGAAAATTACGAAGTGACTATTTCAATTTTTAACCATTAATTTTGATATCTCTTAAGTCACATTAAATTTGATCGTTACATGACGTGCTTTAAATGTGGACTTGTTGAGTAAGTTTTAACTGTCTTCCTGGGCCAAGATGGCTGAATATTGTTATTTTTGGTTTGATGTGTCAAGGACAATCACGTATATCATACTTTTTATTTATTTATTTATTTTCACGTATAGCATACTTTGGTTGAATTCAGTTTTATTCATTACAAAATGATGCGAAAGCAATTGTCTTATTAAAAAGTATAAATTAGTATCAAAGCGGTCCAATGGTGAATCTGATTAAACTGTTAATTTGTTTTGGGAGAATCTTTTTGCCCAATCTTAGCAAATATGCACTTGGGCAAGAAGGATTTTTTTTTGTTTCCCCGCATTTTTTTATTTATTATACAAAATATTTTTTTCAAATAAACCAATTTCTCTCACCCCTTGCTAAATGGATCGAAAACCAAAACTGAATATCATCTGATTATTTCTTTAGTATTGATGTGCTTATAATCAAAGTTTATTGGCCTTGAATCATAGATTGTTCCTTCAAAATTAATTAGATTATACTCAAAATAAAAAAAAAGGCAGTATGCATTTTGTTTGATCCAAATTTATCTTGTAAATAACACAGGCACCTTACTCACAAGATAATAAGACGGACAACAATTCATGAGAGAAGGATTATCTAGAATGACAAGCTCTAGTATTTGACTAGATTAATGAAAGCATAAGACATCGAGTACAGATGGTGTGATGTCTTATGCTTTTCCTCGGACCTCTTATATACAGCCTTGACTACAGTGAAGGTTGTATTTAAGCTATATAAGTTGAAACATTTTGCAAGAATTAATAATTACTCTGTTAAAACTTTATGCGTGTTGCCTTAAATTTATAAATAATTCATTAATCATTTATGAGCTAATTTGTTGCAAGTATTAAAAGTGTTCAGTGAATAAAAAAAAAGGGATTTAAAATTTCCTGGTTTTTAGTTTGAAGAAAAGCAAATGCAAAGTAATATTTTGAGATATTAAGAATTCCTTGTTGGGTGCTTGTCAGTTTGACGCAACCTTTTCTTTTTCCTAGTATTATGATTTGCATTCCTTACTCTACCTTCTCACAGTGATGTTTCGGTTGCTAGTGATCAAATTATTATTATTGATATTGAAAATATGACTTCTCAGCCAATTCCAAGGTTCTTGGATGACCTTCATGCTCTTGAAAAACTGTAAAAATTCTCTATTATGTTGAATCCTTTGGTCGAAAGAGGTTGAAGTAACATTTTACTATATTTTTTGACATTGATTTGACTATCAACGAGTTCAAGCAATTCAATCAATGACTTTGACTGCTGAAAGCTAAAGACATCTATGAAAGTTCTTTCTTTGACCTTGACAATGTTTTTTGAACCACAATCAGCTCCAAAATTTGGCTTCCGACATTTCTCGCTAAAGCCTTATAATGAAATTCCTTAGAGACTTGCTTTGTTTCTGCCTCATCTTCAACAAAGTTTGAGAAATTTTTATGGTTTTTGGACATGGGAGAATTATGTTATACATTTACTTCTTTAATTTGAGAAATCAAGTATTTGTTCTGATTGGAGACGAGAGCGCCATTTAAGCAAAGACTCCTTGAAAGCGATAAAGAATAATCAGCATCTCAATCCATATTTCATATCCAATAAAGAGATTGCCTACTCGAAATAAGCAAATATATTTGGCTAGATCTATCTTAACTTTGTTGGAGTCCATGTGATGAATCCTAGGCTTTAAAGTCGCACCACAAAAATCTCTCTTGAAATTGTGTTTGATAATTAAGGCGCATGCTTCTTAATTATTCTTTCAAGGGGGAGTGAATTTGTCTTTTGCTTTCATGATTTTGTATTTCATTTACTATTGGAGTTTAAGGGTATGTTTGTGGGCAATTTTTTATTGCTTTTCATTTTGAAAAGTTGTTATAAAGCGTTTGGGAGACATCATTTAAGCTGCTTTTACGAAAATTCCATTTTCAAAATCGGGAAGCCGCGAATGGCATCAGAAAGCTCGGTTCCGCAGATCTAATCATAGTCTGGCTTGGAAATTACTTTGGTGCCCCTCAACAATTTTGAAATGACTCATTTTATTTGCGATACTACTCCTCCTCTCTTCTCCCTTTCTTTGGTTTCGCTGGGGCACATTCGCTGTCTTCTTTACTTCTCCCTTGTATTCAGTGCTGCATCTCTCTGTATGTATCTTTAACAAAACCCTAACCTCCTTTCTCATTTTCCTCTATGGTGTTAGTTTGGGGCTTCTCATTTTTTCTCTGTGGTGGTGGTTTGGTGCTTCTCGTTTTTCCTTTGTACTTATGTAATTGGGGCTTCTCGGTTGTCATTTGTGCAGGTGGTTTCGTGCTGCATGTTTTACTTTTGTGATTGTGCCTTGAGAATTCTTGGTTTTTCTCTATGGTGATGGCTTTTTGCTTCTCATTTTACCTATGTGGTTGTGCCTTAGGGTTTTTCGATTTTCCTCTGTGGTGGTGGTTTGGTATTTCTCATTTTACTTATGCGGTTGTGCGATTAGAGGTTCTCTGTTGTCCTCTATGATGGTGGTTTAGTGTTTCTTGTTTTACTCATGTGGTTGTATCTTGGGGATCCTCTGTTATTCTGTTTCATGGTGGTTTGGTGCTTCTCATTTTAATTATGTGGTTGTGCCTTGGGGCTTCTCGATTTTCCACTGTGATGATGATTTGTGCATTTCGTAGTACTTATGTGGTTGTGTCTTAGGGCTTCTTGGTTTTTCTCTATGGTGGTGGTTTGGTGCTTCTCGTTTATCACATTGTTTGTTCCTCGAGGCTTTTTGATTTTTCTCTGTGGTGGTGGTTTAGTGCTTCTCATTTTATATGGTTGTGTTTTGGATTTTATCCATTTTTCCTATGTTGTGTGTGTGGTTTTAGTTATTGCATTGAAATTGTAAAACCCAAAAACACTAGCACATATGTACGTATCTACCAAGTAAAGTTCCTTACAAGTTTCGTGCAGCACCCAAAGATTGAGTGATGCACTTTATTGTAGTGGATTTGCATAAATATTATGATTTTAATATCGTTAGTCAAAGTGGTATCTCTATAGTTCTTTCGGTAGAACTAATTCATCTTTGTTGGTACTTGTCTTAATTGTCTGAGATGCTGCATACTTGTTGGTAATGAAGATGCAATTTTTTTGTGGTCTAGTGATCTCTGTTACCTGCAGGTTATAAGTGTTGTTTGATGGCCTTTGTTGGCTTTTGGTTGTGGGTGTGGGTGTAGTTTTGCAATGTTTGTTGTTGGCTGGGGTTGGCTAGGGTGGGCTGTGGCATTGGTTGTGGCTTTGGATTGATTGTTGTGGTTGGTGTTGGTTGTAGTTTTGGTTGTAATTTTGCATTAATGGTTGTTTGTTGTGGATGTGATTTGGTTGATATTTTGAACACAAACAAGTTAACTATTATACATTTTTGACGTTTTTGGCTTTTGTAATATTATGTTGAGCAATGATGGAAAACAAATAAAAAGCTCAACATATCATCAATTGTGACTTATATAATTATCCGCACTTGTTGGTAATGAAGATGCAATTTTTTTGTGGTCTAGTGATCTCTGTTATCTGCAGGCTGTAGGTGTGGTTTGATAGTCTTTGTTGGTTGTTAGTTGTGGGTGTGGGTGCAGTTGCAATGTTTAAAATTATGGGAGAGGGTAATTGAACATGGTTTAAGAAGTATGACAGAGATTTCTCATAATCAATTTGGATTTATGTCGGGCATGTCTACTTTCAAAGTGAGAGGTTTGACGGAGAAGTTCAGAGATAATAAGGAGTATCTACACATGATTTTTATTGATTTAGAAAAAGCTTACATTAAGGTTCCAAGAGATATTCTTTGGAGAGTTCTTGTGAAGAAAAGTGTTTATATGACTTATAATCAAAGTCATTAAAGATATGTATACAAGAATTGTTACTTGTGTTCGAACAGGAGGAGGATTGACCAAATATTTTCCTATTCATGTTAGTTTACATCGGAGTTTTTGCTTTAGCTCTGGATGTTCTTACTGGATACTTACAGAAGGATGTACCGTGGTGTATGCTTTTTGCTGATGATGCCCTTCTCGTGGATAAGATGAGAGAAGAAGCTCAGGAAAAACTTGAATTATGGAGGTTTACCTTAGAGTCTAAAGGCTTTCGTTTGAGTAGAACTAAAACTGAATACATGAAATGTAATTTTAGTAGTAGTAGCTCTAATGAAAAAAATGTAATTATGGGTGATCAAATTATTAAAAGGTGTGAACGCTTCAGATATCTCGGGTTTATTGTTCAAAATGATGG